TTCACTTTATTGCAAATCGTTGGTGAACTGATCTATCGTTTAATTAAGAAAAAACAACAACAACAACAAAAAACAACCCTAAAAGAATTCACATGCAGATTGGACTGTTGTCTTTTCCAGGAGGTATTTGGGCCATCCCCCTCCCCGCCCCGCCCCCTGCCCCCGTGGGGGTGGATGTTGGTCTATTTCATCATTATTGGGCACCAGAAGCAGAGAGGACCATTTATATATTTATTTTTAAAGCCTCTGTTGGGTATAAACTTGTCACATTTAAACTACAGCCTCTCTTTTTTAAGTTCCCACTATTTTAAACAAAAGCCCCAGGAAGTGGCCATGGAATTTCCAATAATATCTTTTCATCCGTTGCCTGTTTTCAGGTATCAGTCTTTTCTTAGGCTTTGGGGAATGCAGACGACTGTATTGGAATATGAAATTTTCAGCTTTAAACCAGACGCGTTTTAGTGTCAAGCCCAGGAAATGTACACATGCTGTAGAATTTACAACTCATCGCTGTGCAGTCAGATTAGAGTGTGAGTTAAAGAGCGAAACATTAACCAGGGTTCGTGCGTGGAGATTGCCCTTTTAGAGCTACACAAGCAATCTATACCCTGGACGCACGGCGAAACATAGAAAGATCCTGGAGGTGTTCGGGGTCAAAAAATAGGCCCTTCCATACTAGTGCCCCAGAATTTATTTAAAAACCGTTTTTTTTTTTCTTCTTCTTCTTTGCAGGCTGTTCTGCATTTTGACTGAATTGTCATTTGCTTGTTTCGACTCAAGAGAAACATCTGGTTTCTCCCAGCAGTGTAGACAAACTGCTCTTATTCTGATGCTGTCATCCATGAAAGCATGGTTTGGGCTCAATGGATTTGCTTATGAAAGGCTCGGGGTCCATCTCTACAGAAATAAACAGCTCTAGTAATTGGAAGTTTGTTCCCTGTTATAAACTCTGGCTCGGAGGCGGCTTGCGTGAAGTGGTGAAAGCCGAAAGGGATACATTTATTTTATAGAAGGCATTTAATGATTGACGATGTGGCTGGCGGAGAATTTTCCACTTAACCTTTGTGAAAATCTCTCACCCAACTTCTGCAGATGCGTTTGGAAATCCCAGCGCCTAGAGGTTAGAAGATGGGGTGTTGCAGGGTTTACGGGGTCCAGGAGAGAAAAGAGAGGTCTGAGGGGAAGTGTGTCTGCTGCCTTCTCAGAGGGGTGCTGGGAGTCCCCATCTCATCAGATGGTGGCCTGGGCGGATGCTTCTCCCTCTCTGTTCAGATAGATGACGGTCACTAAACGTGCTGCTTTCTATTTCTCATATTTCTCTGGTAGGAAAGGAAGACGGGGAACTCGGCCGGAGTGCGTCTGTTTCTCGTTCTCCCCCTTTTTGCAAGAATGGTGGTAAACAATTCAGGAGAATGGTTAATGTAGGGTTAGAAATCATGTGTTTTGGGTCGTTGCCACAATTTTACAATTTTTTTTTTTTCAATTCTGTGAGTTAATCCCAGCCACTGAACGCTCGGCCATTTATTCAGATGTCGACAGCCAGCCCAGTAAATGCTGGAATAGAAGTATCGGTATCTGCTTTCCCTTCCCTTCCTGCCCCTTTTCCTCCTTTTCATTCCTTTGGTTTTATTTGCCTTTTCTCATTCGTGACACACACACACACACACACACACACTAAACAGGAGCCCCCCATGCAGGCCCAAACTGCACATTTTTGGTGGCCCCCCAAAAATGGCAGTGAGGGACAGGAAGTCCAAATCGATGCTCAGGACCATGTGTGAGCTCAGTAGCGTGGGAGCGTCTCCTAGGTCTCCCTTCGTTGAAGCTGCGAAGCCGAGGTTCGTCTCCCCCCAAATACTAAAATGCTATTGAGGGGCCATGGGGAAGCAGCACAGTGACTTCACGGTGGGTGTGGCTTCTGAGATGCGGAGCCCGAGGCCTGAGGGCCGATGGGCAAATACTGTAGAAGTGTTTGTGTGAGGGATCAGCCCGCGGGGTTAGTGAGAAACTGCTCTGCAAACAGCGGATTAAAGAGGGTTTTGTTGAGGTAGAGCAGATGGACAGAGAGAGGCAGAGTTCAAATTAACCCGTCGTAAATCAGGGCTCCCTTGTAAGAAGGGAAAAAATCTGGATCACTTAAGAGTTTGAGCTAGTTTAATTTATTATTTTTTTTTCTTATAAGAAAAGCACCTCATGCTCATTATTAAAAAAAAAAAAAAATCAGTGCGGAGGATTTAGAAAGTACGTATGCCAGAGAAAAAGATAAATCCCCCAACATCCGCAGAAAGGATCATGGTCACTCCTTTCAGTATGATCCTCACGATTCTGTCCTCTGTCCCGCTAACACACACACACAGACATATGCAAATATTATTTAATAAGGCTTGAAACGCATGCTCTTTCAGCTAGAAATGAAAAGAAAACTTATAACTAGGTCTCAAAACCCAGAATACCAGTGTGATCGTTTGGGCCAGGCTGCCAGCATAAATTTCAGTAATAAAACCAAAGACAACGTGTAAATTTATGTTTGGGAAAGTTGGGGCAAGCGCCAGCGAAGGAAAAGTTCATTGGCACCGAGGGCCGTTGAATTTACAACCTTCCTTCCGGGCACATCTAGGTAGGCGCCCTGGGAAGAACCGGTCCGTAAGGGGCTGTCTGCTGCCCCCTGGTGGGCTAGAATTGTTGAGGCAGGAAAAGAATCCTACCCGTCAGCCCTTATTCACCCCCGTCTCATGATCTCTGCCGGGGCTGAGGCCATCGGGCTGAATTTCACACTGCATTGAATGAGGGCGGAGACGACTCAGTGCTCGCTTTCTAGGGGGAGATGCTCATCTTTTGGAGAGGAATGGACGCTGGGTCCAGCCCGTCTCTGTTTGCTTCGTGCTTTTCAGAAGTCATTAGTGCTAGTTCTATTTCTTATCCTGACAGCATTTAATTAAATCCAAAAATTAGTTAAAATCAAACCCAGTGTACCCTATTAGAGTCGTTTGAATAGAAATCACTGGAATGCTTTGAAAAGTCTCGATGCTGTCGCATTAACGAAAAAGGCACCTGGCGTTAAATTATGTGACAAGTGTGAAATATTGTGAAAAGTTGTAAAAGTTTAGAGCCATGCACTCAGGCTATGTCGTTAGGGTTTTTAAGTTATTTTTCATGCTGAAGAGACAAGCTAGAAACCCTCGTCCATGAAGGATGGGTGCGTATGGCAGGAATGGGTACGTGGAGGGACTGGCCGTCGAGGGTCCATTTCAGCCTCGCTCTGGGCAGAGACTTTATTTACTAAGGAGGATTGAATCGTCACTATTATTTCTTTCTCTCAGCTGAGCATTTGTAAGTTAAATGGGCTCGTTCTGAGAGACGCCGATGACATCAAAATTGTACGGTGTTCCTCCCTTGTGCGAGAGTTTGACCCACCACCAGATTCGAGGGCCGCCTTCTCTCTGGGCTTGCTCTCAGGATGCTGGACTCCTGGCCGACCAGCCGCCCCACCTTCATCTTGTTCTGCTCCCCGCTTTCATGGTATCCTTCGTCTAGTTAATTCTGGCCTCACCCCTCCTGTGTTGACACCTCCCTGCACCCCACTGTCTGTTCATTGCCTTCCTCCCTCCCTCCTGTGGAATGTGAGTCCCAGAGGTCCCCAGCCTAGGAAGATGCCCGGGATGCAGCAGGCGCTCAGCGTCTGGTGCTTGAATGTTGAGTGAATAATCAAGCGCCTTCTGTGTCTGGGTCCTTCTTCCAATGGGGAGGTTTCCCCCCTTTTCTGCTCCCTTAGCACACTGGACTCTGCCTCCGTTTCACTCACCAGTTTGCACTAGCAGCGTCTGTCTGGCTGACTTTGTCACCAGCTCATGGGTTTGCAAACGGCAGCCGGCGAGCCAAATCGGTTATTGTTTGTTTGTATGAGATCTTTTTTTTTTTTTATGCTTTAGAATATAAAATATAAATGTGCATTAGACTGTTAGCCTCTCAGTGGTTGGGAGAGTTGGAAACTGTCTCTTGGCCTGTGAAACCTAAATTCTTTACTGTCTGGGCCCTTTATGGCACACGCGTGTTGTCGGCTTTTGCACGAGAGTGTTTTTAGGATAGGAGGACTGTCTTTCCTTTAATTTATTTTTTTAATTTTATTAGTTTCAAGTGTCCAGTACATTGGTCAGACATGTGTATAGTTTATAAAACGATCCCCCTAATTGCTCCTTCTCTGGCAGGACTGTCTTTCACCTTTGAATTTTTAGGACATAGCACTTAGTAAATGTCTTTGTTTTGAGTTGCGCTGAACTCTGTTTTTTAGTCCATCCTCGGGAGTCAGATGTGGGTGTGAATCCCGGCTTGCTGTGACCATGAGACTAAGATGCAGCATCTCTGAGCCTCCTCTCATCCGAAAACGAGATAGTTGTACCTTTTTCTGATGGCCATGGTGAGAAATGAAGGAAGCCGTCGATATGTCAGTATCTACGCAGCGCTTAGCACAGTTGTCGCTTAATGTTAGCTGTTACTCTTCACCCAGAGACACGTCCAGCAAAAGGAGAGTCCGATCACACTCACGTGAACCAAACCGCGTGGCAGTCGCAAACCAAAACCAGTCACTTCGGGTTAGCTTCTTTTTGGTGCTACCGAATATTAAGAGTTGCCCTTTTTGTCCATGGATCTAATTCTTAATTTCCTCCCCGATTTCTGTGTCTTTTGGTGTTTGTTTGTTTGTTTTTGAGGCTGAACGACTCTGTGAAGATGCGGGTTTAGAAAAGCGTCCGAGGCACCGTTCGGACGGAAGCTGTCACTTGAGGGGCGTGGGCACGTCCTAGCGCTCTCACAAGGGGCATGGATGGGTCTCTGGAGACGTGTGTGTAGCAGGTGCACCTCGTCTCAGAGGGGCAGGAGGCGATGATGCTGCGGAGGGCCAGGTGGGGGCGGGGAAGCACCTGCAGCCTGGCGGACGCTCTGTAAAGACACGCGGAATGGAGATGAATTCAGGCATGATGTATCTTGGACCTGTTTCTTTGCAGGGACCATGAAGGTGAAGAGCGCTAACATCCAAGTTGGAGATCTCATCATCGTTGAAAAGGTGAGTGGGGTCTCGGCTGCTGGGAGTGTGTGTGTTTAAATGCGATGCTGTTGCTACCTCGTCACAAATCCTAACGCGTAATGAGTGTATCTGGTAGACTCATCGAATGTGTTACACTGTTTGCGAGTCTATCCAACAGCTCTGCCTGGGGAGAAAAAGCTCTTTCCCGTGAGACACACACACACAATATTTTTTCAAGGTTTATGTGTGCCGATTAGCCAGAAATCTTACTGACGAACACAGGTTTTGATTTCCTGATGGATGTGTTTGTTGTTGTTGTTGTTTTTATCATAAAGGCTCTCCTAGAAGTCTGCTTGCTACATAAGCACGTAAAAATGTTTATGTCATTTACCTTTGGAGCAATTTTAGCTTGTATTTTTTGAATTAAACATTGTGTTTTTCTATCATTTTATGGGGAGTTAGGGTTAATATGAGAACAGACCAAAAATGCGTTTTTAAAAATAGCACTGCTAACCCATTTGTTACTTTTGCAAACACTCATATCTTTTTTATTTTTTTTATTTTTTTTTATTGCATTTATTTGGAAGGTATTGGATCTTGGGGGTGATCCTGGAGAGTCTCAGAATAATATTCGATTAGAAAAGGATTTTGTCTCAACTTGTTTCTGTAGGAAGTGAACTATGCTCTTTTAAAAGGATTAAATCCAAGAACTCAAAGTTGATTTGTGGCAAAGTGACACTCTACCAGATGGCAGCTCAGAAGAACCACATGAACCCCTTTATGTGTTCATACTTTTTTCTGTTCATAATTACATGAAGGCTGCTGCTGGCTCCTCTCCCCCCCCCCCCCCTTTCTCTCTCTCTCTCTCTCTCTCTCTCTCTCTCTATGAGAATGGCTATTGTTGCTTCCTACTACTTGACTTTCTTATTAAAATCCCACTGGAAGCTAGACATCAAGCCAGAAAATTGGTAGGAGCAGAAAGCGTGAGCAGAGTGTGTGTCTTTGGTTCCAGCAGACGGCCTGGAAGAAAGCCAGCTAGGGTAGCGGACTTTAGACCCTGTGTCCTCTCTGGCTGGAATTCGGGAGGTAATGGTTGGATTCACCAGAAAACTAGAAGCCCTTTTTCCTAGATAAGATTTCAATAGGGGATTAGGGACGTAACAGCAGCATGCAAGATTTTTCAGATTCAAAACAAAATAAATCCCTAAGTCTGCCTGACAAAGGCAGGCACTTAAAAGAGGCT